ATCAGAATATCAGAATGCAAATATTGAATATTGAAATCAGAAAATGCCTTTCAGACTCCTGGGGTGCAGCTTGGAGGGCTCAGGAGAGCTCCCACATCTCCTGAGGGGCTGATGCAGCAGAGCCAGGCTTGGCAGTTCCTGCTCAAATCCCTGGAATTTGATGGTGATTTCTAGAAAGTTTTCTCTTGTTGCTGATTGTGCTGCTCTGCACCTTCAGGTACAGACATGAAATTGCTCATGATGGTCAAAGGATTTATATCCTGGGAGGTGGAACTTCCTGGACTGCTTATTCCTTGGATAAGGTGAGGCATTTGGAACCCTGCACAGGAGATTTTCCACACTGAGGAATTGCCAGCACAGCCTCTCCATCTGGCTTTGCCTGGAGGGCCTGGGGAAAAAAAAAAAAAAAAGAAAAAGAAAAAAAGATAATTGGGAGCAGATTGTTCTCCTATTCCTGTAAAACCTGGATTTGCCACAAGTGTCCTGGTGATGAATCTGTGGCCACTTTAAATAGTGCTCTGCTTCCAAAAAAAATGGAGTCTGCAGCACTTTATGTGACATTTCATCTCTCCATTGTCCCATTTTTCTCCCTGTGTGCAGCAGGAGAAAGGGATTTCTAAATCCTTCTGAGAGCTCAAGGGTGTGGATTTTAATTGGTCCAGCCCTTTTCAAAAGCAAAATCCTTTTCTTTTTTTCAGCTGTAGAGCTGAAATAGCAAAGCTGGGATGGAGCTTGAAAGGTGATTTTAGACCTGCTTAGTCACTGGCTGGGATCAGCTATTTTTGGGTTTCCACTTAAAGCAAAAAAAGGGATTTATTCATAGAGGGTCAGAGCCTGTGGCTGCAGGATCTCATGGCTCCTGTTCTTCCCCCAGATCCACGCCTACAACCTGGAGACCAACACCTGGGAGGAGATCACCACAAAGCCCCACGAGAAAGTCGGTGAGTTTGGCTTTCCCTCTTTCCCTGGGAGCCAGAGTGGCCACGGTGCCTCAAGGTGCAGTTTTGTTGTTCAGTCTGTGGCTTTATCTGGATTTGAGATTTGTGCTGCAGCCCTGGGATGAGCCCAGCCAGGGGGTTTGGCACTTTGCCTGGGAAGGGTGGCAGTGCCCAGATCTGCTCCCAGGGCATCCCAACCATCCCTGCTCCCTTTGAGGCCTGGGCTTCCCCTGCAGTCCCACAGCTGCTTCTCACCAGTGCCCTGGAGACTCTGGGGAACAAAATTCCAGCATTTTCTTCCTTCCCCAGAGAGAAAATAGGTGCTTAAAATTGCACCTTTTATACCTGGGAGAGCAAAGCAGAACCTCTTAACAATGCAACTCCATGATTAAATGTTGAGACAAAATCACCATTTGCACAAGCACTTTAAAGCAATTCTTGCTGATACTGGAGACTCTGAGGAACAAAATTCCAGCATTTTCTTCCTTCCCCAGAGAGAAAATAGGGGTTTAAATTTGCACCTTTTATACCTGGGAGAGCAGGAAAGCAGAACCTCTTAACAATGCAACTCCACGATTAAATGTTGAGACAAAATCACCATTTGCACAAGCACTTTAAAGCAATTCTTGCTGGTACTGGAGACTCTGAGGAACAAAATTCCAGCATTTTCTTCCTTCCCCAGAGAGAAAATAGGTGCTTAAAATTGCACCTTTTATTACCTGGGAGAGCAGGAAAGCAGAACCTCTCAACAGTGCAACTCCACGATTAAATGTTGAGACAAAGTCACCACTTGCACAAGCACTTGAAAGCAATTCTTGCTGATACTTATTTTTTAATTTATTCTCCCCAGGCTTCCCAGCAGCCAGAAGATGCCACAGNGGGAACGGCGCTTCCAGCGCGGAGCCAGCCCGGCCAGGTCCCTGAGACACTGCAAAAGTCCTGAGGGGTGCTGATCCCAACGAGGGCTTGGAGACAGAGAATCCAAACCTCAGCAGCCGCTGGGCGACGGGGCGAAGAAATACACGGCCAGCAGGATGAAGTAAACCATCACCAGCACCGTGCCTGGGGCAGAGAGACAGGGGTGGAGGGAGTTACTCCCTGGAGCAAAGAGGGACGTGGGCTTAGACCTGGTGTGGTCTGGATTAGCCCCCTGTAGAGGACTTCCATGGTTCTCTACACAATGGCCATTAAAAGGGAGTTTAAAACATTTAAAGGGGGACATGGGAGTGATCCCCTCGGAGCTGCTGCAGGGGAACAGCTCCAGGATGGTCAACCAAGACCCCAGGATCGCTCAGGTCACCACACACAAAGAACCCCAAAAAGCAGATGATCCCAGGGATGGAGTCAGGAGCCCCCCATGGCACATCCCAGGGAACGCAGGGGTGCTCCAAGCCCCACAGCAGCCCTGTGGGAGGGGCTCACCTTGGAAATAGTCACATTTGCCATCCATGAAGATGTAGTTCATGAGCACCACGCTGAACATGCTGGCGTAGACGTGGAGGTCGCTGAAGACGAGCGTGAAGTTGGTCGGCTGCGAGGAAGAGGATTTGGGGGTTCATGGCTGACCAGGAGACCCCCACAGTGACTCTGTCTGGGGACGTGTGTGTCACCCCCAAACCCCCTCTGCCACGCGTCCCCAGGGTGGGGACAGCACCAGGAGACATCTGAGCCCACCTGCCCTGCACTGAGCAGAGGGGACAGTGGCCAGGGCAGCTGTGTCCTTTCCGTGTCCCTCACACCCCATGGGACAGTCCCGGGGCCGGCCTGGGGCTACTCACGTAGAAGATGGTGAAGAGCACCAGGACAGGGATCTGGAGCATGCAGACCTGCACAGCAATGCAGTTCCCGATCTCGATGCTGGGGAGGAAGGACAACTTAGGGGCTGGGTGAGAAAATCCCAGAGCACAGAGCCCAGCCCAGTTCTGGCACCGCTTTTTGGGTAACTCAGCTCCTTGAGGAGAAGCTGGCACAGACTCTGACCCACCAGTGCCTGGGCAGCCCATCATGGCACCAAGGGACTGGGACAGGGCACAGGAACCACCCCAAACTGCCCCTTGGAGCCATCTCACCTCAAGCTCAGATTGTTCTGCAGGGCAAACTGGATGCCATTGACAATCTCTGGCAGCTCGGGCACCATTGCCAGCACGGTGACACCGATGAAGTACTGCAGGGAAGAGTGACATCAGCCTGACCACATCCAGGCCCTGGCCAACCTTTCCCCCATTCCTTTTGGGGTTCCAGCTGCAGCCAGGGCAGGTCCCCATCCCTGGAGGGCACACCTTGGTCCTCAGGCCAGCCAGAGGCAGCTCACCTGTGAGATGGTGGAGTTGGTGAGGATGGGGCTGATGTGCTCCGTGGCCAGGTCAGCACAGGCCGACATGCAGAGGGTGGAGAGCAGGAGGATGACCAGGGCCCGCCAGCGGGACCAGTGCACCACGGCACTGTGGTGGTGGCCGGGCACTGGGGACAGAGCAGAGACGTGTGGGGACACTGCAGGGCAGTGACAGAGCCACCCCTGCAGCCAGGACATCTGGGGACACTGCAGGGCAGTGACAGGAACTGCAGCCAGGACACTTGGGGACACTGCAGAGCAGTGACAGGAACTGCAGCCAGGACAT